GATGCAAACATGAAGAATGGAAATATGAAAGGTTTAAACTTAAGAGGCTGCAGCTGCTTTGTGAGTTTCCTCTTTTGTTCAACACTTATCTTCAGGAAATACACTGTAAAACATAGATTTTACCTAAAAAACGTGTTTAAAAAAAACTAGCGATATATTGAAATATTTGGCATCAAACATACTATCAGAACTAGGTAATTTGGCACTTGACACATTTTAAAAGCTTAAATGTTATTTTCCAGTTTAACTCAAAACTGATTACAAGGAAGATTGAGAACACAAATTAAAAAATATATATGATTTGTTTTTTAGTAAAGCACACAGGTGTTGAGACATTATTAATAAAAATTTATATATATATAAACACGCACATACACAAAAGATTAACTGATTGGATCGGAGTACAGTTCAATTGTTGTGTTCTGACATTGATTCCTCATTTGACGTTCAATCATCAATTCAAACTCTTGCTTTTCTCTAAAAAAAAAACAAACAAAAAACAATTACAAATCTTATCACTTTGCACCCCTCCACGCCGTTACACAAAAATATCACTCAATTCAAAAGGCTTAACTCGTTAAACTCTTACCTGTTACTGATACATCGTCCTTTAAGGTACTTTTCTTCAGCCTTTTTCACCGAAATATTGTCCACCCCAGCAATAGCATGGATGATAGCCTGCAACAAAATACAAACAATATATAAAAAAGGGGTCAAAAACAAAGTTTAAGCTACATGTGGAAAAACTAATCATTTCCTGCTCACCTCGGGTAGAAGGACATCCAGAACAAAAGGGACGTCCTCGATTTGTTTCACCTCAGCTAGGGAAGGGGACTTAGTGGTTGCGTACAGCTTGCTTAAGTACCTGTAGACCTGGTCCAACTGTTGGTCGTCTTCCAGGTACGTGTTCACCACCCGTCTCCGCTTGGCTCTCAGAAAAGCGTGCAGCCATCTGGACTGCTGCTGCCCACTGATCACAGCCTGCAAGGCAGAGATTCATTGGGATCTGATCATACACTGATGGCATGAATATTACTGTTAAGAAAGCTGATGATAAAGTTGAATAAAAATCTAAGTCTGATTCTGAAGGTAAATTAAATATCTGACAGTGATCATTACACAGTGTGGCTCTAATTCCTCACTTCACCATCTGTGTCAGTTTCATGTCTCCAAAAGGAGCGTACGCATGGGTCAGAGCTGGCTGAGGCACCGCACATTTTCACGTCAAGTTTGGATTTTAGAAATCACAACCTTGGCGTGAAAAGTGGCATACGCAAGTTTCTGGGCTCAAATTGTGCGTACGCCAGTTTTATAAATCCGACCCCAGGTGAATATGCCTCTGGCCCCTCCTAGGACTGCTTTACACTGCTGCTGAATGCCAATACGTGAAGTGTCCCTCGTTGCCATCAACAAATGTTGGCAGGTGTGCATTATACACAAATATAAACAAGAAAACTGTCACTGCAGCACACTGAGCAATAAGTCATTAATCCAACGGTCAAATCATCCCATTTAACCCCTTCCATTCCAATAATAAAAACAGTTTGCTAATCCTACATTTAATCTCTAAGGTCAGACGTAAATCTATTGGAGGTCGTGCTTTTTTCTTTAGTGTCCCTTTACTGTGGAACGATCTCCCTCAAGACATCAGGCTGGCCTGCTCAGTGGACGTTTTTAAAGCTAAAAACCCACCTGTACACTTTGTCTTATGCGTCTTAAATTTTACATTTGTATTTTTTCCCAATGTTTTACTTGTTCTTACAACTTCGTTTATTTTGATTTTTACCTTTTTTTTAACTGTTCAGCACTTTGTTGAAAGTGCTTATAAGTAAAGTTAATAATAATAAATTATTATCATTATCATCATCATCATTATTATTATTAGATCAGAATGAATCCTTACCAGAAGGTGGGGTTCCACCATGCGCTGCTTGACAATGAAATAAACCAGCTTCTCATTGGCACGGTTATAAGCTGCAAGGGTGCGGTCCGGCAGCAGCCTCTTTCTGCTTCTGCAAACATCTTCCTCCTTCTCAGTGCGACACTCGCCGCCATCGTCACATAAATCAAACACTATGCTGTCACTGGCTATGGTTAGTCTCTCTGATTCTGCCTGCGGATACTTCCTCCGAACTGGATTGCCTGGAGCGGGTAAAGAGTAGCAGCGTTATTGTCACAAAAAGGCGGAGCTTCATGTGTACAATGTCTCATATTTTGTGATACATGGTACTAAAAAGATACTTGATGTAAAGAAAAAACTAAAAACAAGACTTCTATTCTAAAGATAAAGACGTTTCGCTTCCTGTCCAAGCAGCTTTCTCAAATCAATGGCTACGTTCACACTGCAGACAAATCCGAACCATATCCGATTTTTTTATGACAGTCTGAACGAGACAAATCTGATTTTTTCAAATCCGACCCAGGCCGTTTCAGTCTGTGGTTTTAAATCGGATATATATCTGATGTTTTCAAAGTGACTGCAGTGTGAACGCTCATGTCACATTCATCTGACTTTTTCATCAG